GCTCAGAGTCACTCCACCATGAGATGGGCAGTGACAAATTTGAAATATAAATAAATATAAATAAAATGTATACATAATTTTTTTCAATACAATAAAAGTATAAAAAATTAAAAGAACAATAAGGAAATAAGAAAGAAAGTGAAAAAAAGAAAGAAAACACAGAATTATGACTTCCGCCCTTCTTTCTATCGAGTAATTGCCATCTTACTCATTCCCGTCCCTCTTTGACCCTTTTTAATCCACACAAGTTTTTGAAAAATCTTCATCTGGCAAGATAATGGTAAAGATAATGGTAAAAATAAAAGAATTGGTTGCTCCAAACAGGAATCTTTGGCATCCTATTGTAAAGCACTGCACAGTTTTGGGACTCTATTTAGTTATTATTTTATTTTTAAAATTAACTATATAAACATAATCCATCAAGGTGCAAAATGAAAAAAGCCAGGAAAAAAAAGCACAAGAATTAATTAAAAATCTGAAATTGTGAAAAATAGGTGATAGACTTTTTGTAGCCTTGGAACTGCTGCTTTCATTGGAGATCACACTTGCTCAAAAACATCTGTTGTACATGAGCCTCTAATAATCTTGAGCTCTGCAAGGATTATTTTCTATACCGTGGCATACCAAAGAACCTTGGAGAAATTTGAAGGATCTTTCCAACATCTGGCCACAGTCTGTCATGCAACCAGCAGTGCAAAGGAGAGTGTTTTTGTGTTTCCTATTTCTGTTGCAATCTTTATATATGTCCAATAAACGTGGTTCAAGGGGGAAATAAGTGATTCTACCATTATGACAGCAATATTTTGTATTTTATTCTGTAATAATGTTTTTATTATGTATGCCGCCCAGAGTCACTACATGAGATGGGCAGCTATATAAATGCGATAAATACAGGTAGTCCCCAGTGTAAGAACAAGTTCCGTTCCCAAGGTCTGTCCTTAAGTCAGATTTGTATGTAAGCCAGAACAGAATTATTGTATAATACTATATAAGTAATATTGTGTAATGAATTCAAACCATTGTGTATTTAACTTGAGTCATTATATATTTAACTCAAATTTTGCTACAGTAGGCTCCGTTTTTAACTATGGGTTGTCTGTAACCTGGGCGTTTTTAACCTGGGGGCTACCTGTAAATAAATATCATTTTGGATTTCCTGCCAAAATCTAGCAATGGAAAGGCATTTCTACCACTTATCCAAATAGGTGCCAAAGGATTCAGCTACCAAAGGATTGGCAGCCGTTTCAGCAGGTAGATAGTGTGTTCTCAGTAATACAGGTTAATTGCAAGGTTTGGTACCATCTATAGCACACTTTTTAAATTTTTTAATTTTTTTCAGAGCCTTAGCTGAGGTTACTTCCCATCCAGACTAAATGGAGCTCTAGTCTTGGTCTGAGAAAGAAAAACCCAAGTCAACCTCCCAGCATTGTGGTGGTGCATTCAGTGGGTCTGTTTCAATTTCAGTTAAAATTGAATATATAGGTGGTCCTCATTTAACGACTGCCTTGTACAGCGACCATTCACAGTGACAACAGTGCTAAAAAAGTTACTTTGCAACCAATCCTTGCATTTACGACCTTTGCAGATCTGTAAAGCAAAGGAATCTTGAAGTCTAGCCAGCCTTGCTTGTGACAAGACTCTACAAAAATCTGGATGTTTATCAACAAAAGTCAATGAGAATATTGTTGGAAATAATTGAGATTGATTTTTGGACCACAAGGTCAAAATACATTTAAAAAAGGGATTCTTGCTGTTTTGTATTTCAACTATTAAGATTTGTCGATATAGAAAATAATTACTGTTAGGTGTCTCCAACAATTGCAACGCAGCCCATCATCCTCACCATACAATATTATATTCCATAAAATGTTTCAGTTGAAAGGCATGGAAATAAGATTCAACACAAGGACTTTCACTTTTGAATTCTTTTCAGAAGCATAGATATTTTCTCTTCTGCCCATTTATTTCATGTTTGCAAATTAAAGCTTGCATATTGCTTTAGCTATATGATTCTTCTGTTGCAGATTTTACCTGTGGCACATACAAAGATACATCCAGATCAGGTACTGTATATTTCATATTCCACGTACAGGTCAGTTGTGATTCTGTTTAATAGCTAGGGTTGCAGTTTGAATTTTCAGTAAGGTTGCTCTAATATAGTGGGGCATACTTTTATTGATCACTGAAATTCAGCCTCTTTTAATCTGTCAGGCCCATGGTGTGTACAGAAAGTCAAAATTTGTCAGCCTTGAAGTATTATCTTGGAGAGCCAGACCTCCAGCCTATAGATTCCACAAAATTCTTCCATTGCTTCTCTCTTAAGAATTCTAGAGGTGGACTAAAACAAAGATCAGATTGGTGTCCTTTCACCTGATCTTGAGAGAGATCTCTAAGTATTGTTTTCATCAGCCTGGGAAGCAACTTTGTTTATTGTCTCAGTGATATATGCTGGGAGATCTTTCCTCCCAAAAGGGGATAAAAGTCCATTACAAACAATAGCAAAAAACAATAGATTACAACATATTTTTTTCTTCCCCTTACTTCTCAATCACTTTTAGCAGTGATGTAAGTTCCCCAGAGGAATTGCATCATGTCTCATAGCTGAGAATTTGGATCTCATGGAGTTATAGGCTTAAAAATGGCTGAGGCATGTCAGGAATTGAATATATAATGAAGGATTGTTTCAGGAAATTGGGCATTTTGTGATATATTGCATTTTGTGATATATATTTTAAGAGTACTGTATAACAAAGACAGAAAGATTTCAGGCTGAAAGACAAGCGTGGGGTATTCTAAGCAGGGAATTTGAATAATATATGTAAAGTAATTTGGAAACTGCACTGAATATTTGAGTCTACTTTCTAATGCACAGGGATAATGCAGGATTGAACAAAACAGGAGCCATATCATTAAGGGTAAGCTTTATTTGCAGCTCTGAAAATGAAAACACAGTTTATAAGCCAGTTTGAGATTCTTAAGGAGTTATCCAGTATTTATAGACTGAATGAGTTCTTATTCAGTGATTTGCATATTTCATGGGCTAGCTTAGCTTTATGTCCTCAAAGAGTTGAGGAGAGACCTTTGCTACTTTTAAAAAAATTATAGTAAGGATCACCTTAATAATTATTTATAATACACTTTTTCATGTGTTTATTTGAAAAGGAATCGTGTAGTGTTAAATAGAAGAATGGTTTGTGGGCTTTTTTGATGAGTGTTTTGCTTTTTTCCAGAAACTTGGCGAAAGTGTCCAGCAGCTCCTACTCACCAAAATTGCCGTTTATTTGATGACTTTTTTAATAGTTACAGTTGCCTGGGCAGCTCATGTCAGGTATGCAGTTTGGAGTGTTTTAGAAAGTGTACATCTATCAAGCACTTGAAAGCTGTAACTTAATCAGGAGGAAGGTATTAGGAATGCACAGCAAAGTATACCAATAGCTAGTCTATGTGGCCAAAGGAAGTAAGTGTGAAGATGGGCGTCTAGCTTGATGTAATTTATGTTTCTTTCATTTTTGTTTCATTATGATCAAGTTGTCCTTTCCTACACAATACTGCTTCATGCTCAAGTCACTGCCAAGCTTATAAGCAAACTTTGTCCACAGAATCTTACAGTCTGGCTTGCAAAATTTGCTAAACTCTGCATTATGAATTAGGTTTCTTGCCTCTCCCAGCCAGTTAGACTCGTCTTGAAAATAAGGTCACTTAAGAATCCAGACAAAATCCATCAGCATTCCATTTCTCAAGGAATCAATCACCAAGTACTTCTCCAAACCCTTCATTAGGATATGAGAGTTGTCACCCTTCCCTGCTTCTTGTTTTTCAACTTAGAGGAATGCTACAAAAGGAGTCAGGGGCTTCATTTAGTTCTGACAATGGTTTTGGAATTTGCTTCCACAAATGTGTCTAATCTGTTATTAGGGATTTTATCCGCTTTTGATGACAAATAATTCTGCAAAGCAATCACATATTTATAGATTTATTTTATTTCCTCTGTGCTGAGGCTGCTCTCACTCAGTTTCAGCACACTATCTTCATACAGTACAAAGCTTTTTACTAGTCCACCTGTCTATATAGTCCTCTGCCATTTGTTAACTGGAAAAAACCTTTTTGTAAGCGTCTCTCAGCAAACACTGGAACTCAAACATAGGCAGAGGCATTGAAGGACACAAATCTCTGATAAGTAAACTTTATCGTAAGAAAAACAAAGCTGTTTTCTGGTTACTGCTCTATATTAAATGCAAGCCCTACCTATGGTAGTTCAAATAATGGTTCAAATCCTTACAGTGATCCAAATTCTGACCTTGTCAAAAGTATATTTCATTTGTTCTGCTCAGGTGCTTAGAAACAATTCTTACTTGGTTCTTTACAAGCTTAAATTGAGAGCTGTTCTTACAAGCTAACTAGAGGAAAACTGCACCACGATTAGGGCACTCAACTCCTGTCAGATAAGCTAAACAATTTTTGCTGGGTTTTGTTTGGCTATAACTGGGTTTGCATATCCCCTAAGCCACAACCATGTTTTATTAAATAACACACAATTGCCTGAATTTGCACTATATTCTGAGTCCTGAACCATAGCTTATAAACCACAGCAGATGGATGCACACAAGACACTAAGCCAGACTCAAACCGTGATTTGCAAGATTTAAGAATCTAGTTATAATAATTAAAAGTGAACTCATGCTGCATTGTTATAGAAGCGTTTACAGGTAACCCTTGTTTAGCAACCACAGTTGGGACTGGCAACTCCATTGCTAAGTGGCACAGTCGCTAAGCAATCATGTGACCTCAACAGGCTTACTTGTCTCACTTCCACTTCAGTTGTTAAGCAAAGTGCCATTAAGTGGTCATTAAGTGAAACATCACATGACTGCAACTTATGATTTTACTTCTGCCTTCTCTATTAAGTCTGCTTGTTGCAAGCCAGTTGCGAAGCACACAAATGGTGATCGTGTGACTGCAGGATGCTGCAACAGTCATAAATTTGAGGATTGGTCTTGAAGCTTTTTTTTTTACATGTTTGTAACTTTGAACGGTTGCTAAACAAGGCAGTCAGTAAGTAAAGACTGCCTGTACTGCAGTCAACTTTTTAGATCAAAAGTAACTTGTCTCTTCAGCTGCAGGAGAAATGGCAGTGATCCAACTGCCTTTTCCTCTCATTTGGAAAGATTGCATTGCATCTTCAACCATTTAGGGACATTTTTATGCTGAAGGAAAGTTTGCGCACATGTTGCATTAAGTTGTGGTTTGCTGAACCTGCTGTAGTGGCCCTGTTTACATGTAATGCTAAGCCATTAACCATGGTTTACAAACCATAACAAGTGAGTTTGTACATCTTGTGAAGCCAAAAGCAAAGATACAATGATGTAACTTAATGTGCAGTGCTGCCATTCATGTTCTTTTGAGCTGATGACGCTTGATTGAAACAGTCCGTACATGAAAACTAATAAACATCAGCTAGACACAAGAAAAAAAATCAAAGAAGGTAGAGAGCTTCTCAGATGGTAACAATGACAGCTGCATGATATTTGCTTGACCTACTGCCAGCATCCATACTTGATTCCCTCTCCTTCTTCAGAACTTTGGAAGAGACAAAGTTCTCTCATTTGTGCTATCTTATAAATTGAATGAAGAGCCAGTTTGGTGTAGTGGTTAAGGCACCAGGCTAGAAACCAGGAGACCGTGAGCTCCAGTCCTGCCTTGGGCATGAAGCCAGCTGGATGACTTTGGAGAGAGTTCTGCTATCTTATCCAAAACCCAATATAGGCGAAATATGATAGACTTAAGTAAGATAATGTGCTGAGCCCTCTGCACATGCCAGAGAGGGAGAGAGCAAGATTCCAGAAAATTATCCTTGTTTGTCTTTTGCAGCAATCTTGCACAGGGAAGAGATAGTAATTCCTTTAAGGTAAGAAATATCAGAAGAAACTTCAGTGTGTCTTACTTTCTCTGAAACACAGAACAAGCAAGAATTGTAGCAGGGAATACGTGAATGTGTTGGATGACTTCATCAGAAAGTCTACATGCTCCCGATTAGTGGAACTGAGGATATCTAATCTTCTGACTTAAAACAAAGGCATTTTAGGAAGGATAATTTCTGAATTTTAACTGGCAGTTTCCTTGCGTCTCACTCTTGTTTCCATTTTTATTACACAATCAAATTTAAGAGTTGCCAGTTTGAATGAGTCTAGTTATCAGTAAAAACTTTGTGAGCCTGTTTTATAAGAAAATTAATAGTTCGTTTTTTCCTCCAGACTTTTTCAGGTGATTGAACTCATCGATGATGTACTTGCCCTTGCAAATTTGGTGAGTGAAATTTAAAAGAATGCTAAATCTATCTCTTTAAAAGATAGATGTTCCTAGTCCTGGCTCTTAATAAGAGATGAAATGGATCTTGGTATTTTTAAATCATTGACTGGTGAATCACTGCATTGGTATTTGGGGTTTTGAGTTATCAAATATTGTTATAAAATGTGCTGATTGACCTGTTTTGCACATGCAGTCTGTAAATTATACCTGAATCCCTGCCTAGGAGAGCTTTTAATGCAAGTCATATCACTTGAAAATGGCCATTCAGGTATTAAGGGAATAGGGATGTCAGATCTGGAAAGCAGACTATGCTGCTTATCTTTTATTATATTTTAATTTGTAATTAATGGTGTACATGAAAATTACATTTGTAGGGTTTATTACAATAAAAAAATACTGTGGATGTTGATCCTAGCAATTCTATATGAAAGAGACTTGCAGGGACACGTTCTCCCCCCCCCCCCG